TTTTTTAAGGAGACTTATGACCTTTAGGGGTCTCTTAGAACTAATGTTTTTCTGATATAGTGATAACATTCTGACATGGTGATAACATTCTAACATGGTGATAACATTCTAATATGGTGATAACATTCTGACATGGTGATAACATTTTAATATGGTGATAACATTTGATGATAACATTCTGACATGGTGATAACATTATGAAATGATGGTGATAACATTCTAACATGATGGTGATAAATGCAAATATGGGTTTATCCATATCCTTATGAATAACATTAAATCAAATTTTATCCTGTTCAACAAAAAACGGATTTAAAAGCATGACTCCAGTACAAAACGGGCTAGAAAATATGAAGTACATGTTCTGAAAGCATAGTTCAAAATATCGAAATGTATCGGGATATATCGAAATGTATCGAATATTATCGTGAAATATTTCGAAGAATTTCATAAAAGCTTACTTAAAATCGAAAAATATCAGTAAATATCGAACATATCGAAATGTATCGACCGATTTATGCTGATAGATTCAACCTGATACTATCCGTATTTATCGGTATCGTTTTGTTGGAAAACCGATATATATCGGGATATATCAGGATTTTTTGTACTATGTCTAAAGTGCTCCAAATAACTTGCAAACAAAATTAAAAAACCAGACCACAGATGTACGTTTAGGGTTTCTTGCTAATTCTACGGTTCTACTTCTATAATTCTATATTTCTATTCCCTACCTAACTACAGTCTACAGGTCTACAGGTCTACATTACAAAGGTTCTCGTGAATACTCTGTTACCATTGCAGATGACATTATTGGTGTGGACTGTGGAGTAGAGAGTAGAACTTTGATATGATATTGATGAGACACTAAACTAAACATTCTGACTGTAAAGGAAGGAAAATAGCAACGTAGCAGGTAAAGAAGTCTGAAGTTCAAAGCATTGGGAAGGAAAATAGTATGCTTCGAATCTTGGGCTTCACTAGTGGTGAATTTACTTCAGGTTGACTTGACATGTTTCAGTGAAGTATAGGCATAGCCAAGAAGGTCTACATATATAGATAGGTCATATGTGTGATTATGAACCAACTCATTTTAGGGAAGTAGAAGGAAGAGATCGAAACAGAAAGGGATTTTGTAATTTGTATTACAACTCACAAGTAGTAAAATGGCAAGCCTTGACATTCAAGTACAGGACAACAAAACTGATGGTGTGATTAACTCTAATCCCATCAATCTGAAGGTTAAGGGACAGGTTTGAGCTTCTTTTCTCAGTTCTGATCTTTTCAGATTCTTTTGATTCAAGTTATGTATCTTGTTGTTTGGTGAGATAAACTTTTTCTCATACTTGATGATGATGAACTTTATTTAGGAGGTTGATTTCTGCTAGTATAGTAGTATGTATATACATTCAGAATATGTACATTTCTTTTTCAGAATTATTTTTGTGAGATCACATATAGAATTAATTACATGAATCAATGTTGTTTGTTTCCTGAAGAGAATGGTTTTTAAGTTCAAAATGTCTTATTTTGAACCTATGTCATTGTTGTGTGTAAGTTTACCTTTACCAAGCTAGCTTTAGGTAAACACTTTGAACTGTTTCCATGTCTTATAATGGAATTCTTATGGAGTTCCCATAATTTGTTTGCTGTAATTAATAAAAATAACAAGTATGGATGATGGATCACACTAAACTTAAGAGCCATAAGCAATAATCTTTCCTTGTTAAGGATTTCTGAATATATATTACCTTTAATTGATATAGATTTCAGAGTTTGGGCCATAATCAGGTGGCATCCTTTGGTCGTTATTGCAATTTTAATTTTGCTTTTTATGCTGCTCCAGCCTCCAGGAATACTTATCAGCGAATTTTATTAACCATGTAAAAGTAAAACTATGACAAACTTATAGTTATATCCATGAGAAAAGCAAACATTATATCACAAAAAGGAATATTTGAATTTTTTTTTGAAAGCATTGGCACCTTGGTTCCTTACTTCCTTTATAGAGGCAAATTGGCAATGTTATTCTTGTCTTCTAGAGTGTGTTGGTTATCTCTTACCAAAATGTTCACCCTTGTTAACTCAAGGATCAATCTCATTGGTCCTGTTCTTATGTGGTCAGTGATTGTAGTATTACTAGTATTTGTGGCTTTGTGCCGCTATCTTTTAACATATACTAGATCCCATACCAGTTTACCTCTGTTTCACTTACAGCATAATGCAAAACTTATTACGTATCTGCTTGTATTTGGTTGAAAGCTCCATCCCCCCCTTCCGGCCTATTATCCAGTTTGCCTAGTGATGTAGCATAAAATGTTCATCTGAAGACTTTTGGTCTGTATGATTCGTGTAAACTTTGAGTAAGTTTTCTTATTCATAAAGTTTCTACTTGCTGACATATATAATTAATGTATTTGGTTTTAATATTACTTACATCATCGACACTCTCATATCTTGTTCAACGTTGCAACT